TATAGTCTTAAATAAATTGAGCACTGGCAAGACTGTCAAAGAATTAAAAAAAAAAAAAAAAAAAAAAAAAAAAAAAAAAACAAATAAATAAATATAATATTTATTTAAATTATTACTTTAATTTTTGAAAGAGATTTTTTCCTTTTAAATCAGCATAATATGTCTACTTCACCATCCCCTCTATAACTATTATTAAATAATAATATTATTTATATTATAATTATTAACAACTAAATATTGCATAGTTGGAATAGTCTACAGTGTGCACTCATTAGTTAGCATATATCCTATTCACCCATTACTAAATAACTAAGAAAAAGAATATTCTATGTTGAAACATAGGCCACAAAGAGCTTTCAATTTTTTCTCAGATATTTTATATTGATGAGGCAGCATAACTTTGGATATATAATAACTCTATAAATACTTAGTAAAAAAAACTCACCCTTTATGAATTACTTCAATATCCCTAATGTTCTTTAGGATTTCAAGAACATTTATTTTGCCAATCAATCCTTTTATATAACTGGAATGTACAACAACAATGGAAACAACAGTATTTTTTGAAGAAATCATTTTGAATAATTTTGAAAGACAAAGTCATATTTTTTTACAATTCTTTTATTCTGAATTGTCATTACTTCTTTTTCACTAGGAATATTTTTAGAATATGACGAACTCCTATTTTTCTCTGCAAATTATGCCGGGTGGGTAAAAAGTCTCTATACAGGTCACTTTTTTTTTAATCACTAAAATAATAATTATTGCAATATTATATATAATTGCATTTAAAAATTAAGTACTATAAATCTTAGCGGAGATAGTAAAAAAAAGAAGAGACTTTTCACCCACCCGGTATATGTTTCCAGTCATATATCAATTCATATGGGGCAGAGTCAATCAAATGTAGCATAGTAAGATTTAGTGTTGTAAGCCAACTAGGACAGCCATGGTTAAGCCGGCTTAGCCGACTAAGCCAGTCGAAATAATATGGTTGGCTGGCTAATGGGCTAAGGATTACATGATTCATGAATAGTAAATTACGTTAAATTCCAAAAAGGAAAATGAATAAGCATAAAATACTTTGAGAAAATTTCAGAAGTATTCTGAAAAATAGACTATTAGTCGGGTATTAGCCAGCCGCTTAGGTTTTAGTCAGCTGGCTTAGCCAGCCGACTAAAGTCATGTGGTTTACAACACTACTAACAGGTTGTTATCGTTATTGTAATGCGGGAAGTTAATAGTTTCAAGGCCAACTATAAACTAGTTGTTGCACATAGTGTTCAAAGACAAGCCGGCTTATCACGGCTTGCTGCGGCTTAATGCGGCTTATCACGTGATAAATTCGAAGTTATCACCGAGCCGTGTGATAATCGCGAAAATATCACGTGATAAAATTCAAAGATATCACATGGCTTGGTGATAAATTCGAATTTATCATGTGATAAGCCGCATTAAGCCGCAGCAAGCCGTGATAAGCCGGCTTATCTTTGAACACTAGTCGCACGTTTTTAATTATTTTCATTAATTATAATATTTATAATCTCGATCCTATAACAGTTCAGATTCAAATTACGGTCTTAACTGACAAATCAGTATAATTTTTATCTTTTCAACAATGAGTAGCAATGAAAATTTTATTGCCAATATCTCTCAAAACATTAATACATACAGCGATATTAATATAAGTGATTCTTTAGTTAATAAGGGTTTTAACGTTCTGTCTGTAATCTATTCATCTGTTAATTTTTCTTTTTTTTTTTTTTACTTAGGTTTATTGATTTGGATCATTTATTTAAGAATGGTCAATGTGTCGAATTATGATTTGTGATCATTATGATGTGGGAGACCAAATTCTCAATGTGATTGACTAGTAATCGAGATCGTGCACAGGTACTATGATTAATTGAAGTAATCCTTACAGCAATTTTGCATATTGCGAATGTAAATATTAATTTTAACCAATTAGCAAGATGGTTTCGACCTTTTTTTTTTTTTTTATAGCGATAATGAATTCACTTGCCGGTTGAACTATTTTTCACTATATAGTTAAAAATTGAACTCCGACCTATTAATTTAAGCACCCTAATTCCAGGCACAACTCTTTATACCGTATAAGTGCGAAATAACGCCCAGGGGTGTAATTTCGAATTTTGGCCTAATTCAAAATAACGCCCTGGGCACTTATACAGGTAAGCACTTTTTTTTAAAAAAAAGCATGGATTTTTTTGGTGATTTAATTATTATTTTATTATTGTTAAAAAAATTATAATTAATAAAGATATTAAGAATGTATATAGTCCACCTCGGAACCGTATGACTAATCAGACATACAATTAAAGAGATTTGCAATAATGATAACGATAAGAGAGGAATACAATTGATTGATGATTTTTATTTTACATAAATATATTTATTTTAAATATTCTTTAGCAAACCATAATTTACTGTACATACTCGGTAAATATAATTAAAGTCTTATGTTTCAAAATTAAAAAGGTTTCCATTTTTATTGTTTTTAACTTTGAATTTGTGTTATATGTGCAATCTAATAACCAAATTCTAAGTCGTTTCTTAAATTCTTTAATATTAGTTTAATTTTATTAGTATAAAAAAATTTTTAGACAAAAACTATTTATAAAAATTGCTAAAAATAAAATAAATAAAATAAAAAATAGAGAGGAATTTATAATTTAATTTTTAATTTGCAAATTCGATACAAAATGTTTAAATACAGTATTGTACTAATAATCTGACGGAAGATCTGCCGCCATTATTGACTTTTACATAGTAAAAATATGCAAAATCTGTAATCCTCGACCACTATATCAAGATCAATTATTCAGATCAGAGTTAGGATAGAATTTTTGTCGGCGGGATTGGCAACGGACCCAATGGAGATTCCAATGAACCTCAATGGTTACTTGTCAATTGAGGTTCGTTCAAACCTTTCTATTGGCTTTTTTTTTTTTTTTTTTTACAATAGTTTTACCGGGAAATAGTCATTGTCGAAGAATCGTTGCATCGAAGAAATAATTCCGAAATTTTTAATCTCGGGAGTCCAGAATTAACAAAGAAAATCTTTGTAAGATGTACGTACGTACATAGTTGCAATTTTTTTTGGTTTGTAGTCAAACCAAGATTAGTAAAATAGATATTCATGATAGGTTCGCAGGAAACGTACCTATGCATGTAACTTACATATTACTTAAATAGTAAAAATATCACCGCGCAATAAAGTTATTTTTTTAGATATAGATAATATGTTTATATAAACAATTAATTGGGCACACACAAATAAAATTAGGTTTCCAATTTTGTTAATTTCTATTATATATAGCTAGTTATACATAATATTTTCTTACACAGTTTCAAATTAAATTAACAATGTTCGATCATAAAATTAATGATTTACCTTACGTTCTGTATAAACCAATATAAACAAATAAACAATAAATGAGAATGTAAGCTAACTATATAAACAAAAGAATATGTGATTATTTTCCATGAAATAAAAAAAATGGTAAAATTTATCGTAATTCTGTATGCAATCTTTGCATTACTATTATTATTACCATCTCCATCAACCCAACTAAACCAATTCACGTATGAAGATCCAGAGGCTGGCCTAGATCTTCTAGATGACGATAAGTCAAATGATGGAACTATAATATTACGTTTCGGAAAGCCATTAATCAATATTAACGGGAGTACAGCGTGCTGGACTAAGACCATTTATCTTCGAATCATTCATCCTAATGCGTCGATTAGCTTCTTTTCAATTTCAAATCATAGTGTCCCAGATTTTAATTTTTGTCTGAAAGATGGATCCACGAGGGATTATACGACAATTTGGGGTTTCGATCAAGAACTTATACTGCTTACTTATTATAATTCGTCGAATGTAACAACTTCTGCAATTATGGGTCTCTTTATTACTTTTGAAGGAAAAGTTATAAGGTTTTGTATTCTGAATAATTCAAATATGTTAATTAGCATTGAAAAATGATGTCTTTTAATATTTGATTCATACATTATACAGTACAACAAAATTGCATGATGCCCTTATAGACTATGGTGGCATATTAAAGTATTGGCTCGTAATTCCAATCTCTAGTCCAAGTGATGGTTTTCTATTTTACTGCCGTGGCGCGTCAGTAATAAGTTGGATACATTATAGTGCACCGTATGTAAATGTAATAATTATTTATCATGATTATGAAGTTATCAATATGTGACAACAATATATATATATATACCTTTTAATAGAAAAAATGATGGAGAAGTAATCGAAAGAGCAAGAAGCGGAATAATCAAAACAAATATTAAAGTCGTAACCGTCACGGCTTTCTACGTGCTAGAGAGAGGTTTTGCCATAGTTTACGGAGGAGATGATTCCCCTTCTAATCTTAATTATACTACTAATATCAATAGTTTTAATTTTGGTACTACTAATGGCGTGTACATAATGTTTTATTATTTAACAACAAACATGCGAACTGGTCCATTCTTGTTATATCAATTTCCCACACAAACATTAAAGTCGAATAATTCACAAGCTTTAATTCAAACTACAAAATTGCGGGGTCTTATATGTAGTGTTGATTTTGATGGTGCAGGAAATATATGTATGCTAATATTGACTTCTCAATATAATATCACAAATACAACTTCGCAACCTACCCTCTTAAAAATATCTTATCTCTCTTCCGGGTAATCATAATTAAGAAAATAACTTATTTTTATAAATATCATTGAAAAATGATAAACTAATTAATCTTTTTTAAATTCTAGTTCAGTAACAAAAATAGGTGAAATGGCAAATGTAAATTTTACTTATGGATTTAATCTCATTCCTCTTCGATTCGGTGGTTATCTAATGATAGTATATCAAGACAATCTCAATTTTGGTTATGTTCTCGATGAAAGTGGAAATGTATATTCCAATTGGTCTTTACCACAACCTCTAGTTCTTCCTCAACATATAAGTGAATATGTTGTGCTTGCGAATAATTCAATTGTTATTGTGGAGAATCAAAATAATTCAATTTGGAACGTAACACGTGATGACTTGTACAGATTTTATGGTCAAGGTAAATAAAATTAACAATTGGCCCGACCGTTAACTTTTAAGAATTATTATTATCGTCATTATATTATTATTATCGTCATGATATTATTATTACTCATTACTATATCACTCATCGTATATTTATTTCAAATTCCAATTTCTGTTAGATAATAATGAATTCAATAACCCGATCATAGCATCAACGAGCCCGATAATAGGTTCTCGAGTAAATGAATCCACGAGACAACTTCAGTTCACATTCACTTATCCTGTGACTCTCTCCAGTTCAAACATCTCAATATACCAACAAATCAATGGATCTAATGACTTACTACGCCAACGATTTCAAGGTGATTCTTCAAGTCAGCTTTGTCGCCCTGATCCAAATGATAATAAAACTGTTATAGTACAAGTGATTCCGAGTACTTTTAATGAACCTAACAGTCTTTATTATGTGACCATTGAGAATGATTTTGTAAAACGTAGTGACACGAATGAAGCTCTATTGGGACTTGACAAAAATTTATGGACTTTAATCACCGGTAATAATTTATTATTTTATCGTTAATATCTCAATATATTGTATAAACTAATATTGCATTTCTTTTTTTAGACAGCAAACAAACCATATATTCAAGTAATATATTTTTTTATTATTTTATATATACAAAATTTAAATGCTAACTAACTACTGTATATCATTAAATTTAGGCCAAATAACGGGCGTCATTCGTTTGACACCTGATGGTTCTGATTATTATCTTTCCCTTAGTTCCGTTGATAAACAAAAATTTCAAGAACAATTGGCCACAGATCTCTCTTCTATAATTCCCGTCGAAGATAATAGACTAACTGCCGCCGATGGTCTCGAAAAAGACACATCCACTGGTTCCTTACAAATATTGCTTCCCTTTATTATTAAAGATACCACAGATTTGTCAAAGAAAAGTTCCAACAAAATATCTCAGGACTTTAATATATTATTGACATATAAGGAATATAGTGCTTTAATGGATTATAATACAACGGTTTTAATTGATAAGACTTATCCCATGACTATTGTTCGTAAGTTTGCAAATATATATTTTTTGTTTCATTTATGTTTGCTTAGTTCTTAATGTGTACATTTAATGTGTACTGTTTTTTTTATTTCTATAAAGCATTATTGTTAAGAGATTATTCAACGTTGATCATAATCATTGCTCTTGCATCAATAGTTTTGATCATAATGTATTTTTTGGCATCAAGGAAATTTAAAAAGGTACAGGAGATATTTCTATTTTACTTAACAAAATTTAAATATGGAGCCATTATTAAAGTCGTTAATTTATTATTTAGGCTAGAAATATTTCAATCTTCAAATTAATATTCATTGTCATTGATTTGGGATTACGTATTTCGTTTTTAGTCAATGATGCTCGTAAAGTTCCAGAATTATACTTACCAACGTTCGTTCTTTTTTTTTTTTTTTTCGCTTAACCATTAGTATATGTTTACTTTCATAGCCAATCTAATTTCTCGCTTTCTTTTCCTTTTCGATTTATCTTTATTTAATTGTAGCTTGATAATCCTCATAATGTCAATGTCTATAAATACGATCACTTCACTCGTAGTTACTGTTCATGAAATTGGTAAAAATCCTGATTTCAATAAATGGTTCTCCAAATATGGTCAGTTTCTTCCAATTCTCACAATCATATCAGCGGGACATGTTGAAGCTCTTAATGTTTTGACTTCGAAGTTTGGAATGTTAGACATATTCTGCACAAATTTCTCAGAAGTTGCTGAAAAATCGATATTTTTTGCTGGAATATCATGTTTGTTTGCTTGTGAAATTCCACAATTCATCATTCAGGTTTGTTATTTAATGAAAGGGATAATTTCTTATTTAATTTTGTGCACTAAAATTGGTTTTATTATTCAAAAAAAAAAGATATTATTCAGAGAAAGAACAATATTATACCACATTATACCTCAACTAACCTTAATAACGAACTCACTCGTAATGACCTATAATATATTTTCTGCAATTTATAAAGCGGTATTTTGGTTTTTGAATAAGCGCACTCGATCGAAAGTTGATGATAAAATTGTCAATTTAAGTTAAAAAGGGCTTTAAAATCACCATCTACGAGCTATTCGTTATGCACTTGTATATAGCCATCACAATTGAAATTGCTTTTCTTAAACAGAATAAATAACGATAACCATTTTTTTCAACATAATATTTTATATATAGAAAGGACATTATTCAATTACATTTATTTTTTTATTGACGTATATATAGAAAAGACATTATTCTATTACATTTATTTTTTATATAGATGTTATAGATAGAGGCTGCGAAGAAAGTGTTCATCACACAGAAATCTAGAAGATTTTTTGTTTTATTTAACAGTATACAGTATTATGTCTTATAGTTGGCCAATTAAATACTGTAGTGAACAAAATAAGTTTTAAAGCTTATAAATAAACCATTTTTTTTTTTATAAATAAAAATGCAACCCATTTTTTTGACATTTGTTTATTGACCTGCCTTAAAAAAAGATTCATGTCGGTTTTAACTAACCCATTCGAAGTAAAAGCAATTCTTATAATAAAATTTTATAATCATTTATTCCAAAAAACTTCATAATTATTTGCCTCATGTGTCCCGGAAAATCATCTATTTCACTTATTTGGTAGCCTTTATGAATTATTTCTATTTCTGGATTATAACATTTAATAAATGCATCAATTGCTATTTTTGGATTATTATATTCTTCTTTATATCGACCCCATTCATAATCATCAAAAATCATAATTCCACCATCCTTTAAGAGATTCCAAGCTAATGTAGCATCCGCCAATACATTAGAAGCAACATGACTACCATCAATGTAAATAAAATCAAATTTAATCTTTGATTCATGGTTTAATTTAGTAAGTGCATTCAAAGATATACTCTTCATAACCTCAATTTGTCTTTCTTTGCCAGTCATTTTGATATTTTCATTTAGCATTTGCTTTATAATCCGCAAGCATTTCATCGAAGGGATCGATCGATATTAATTTTGATTCGGAATTTTTAAATAATTCTTCTAAAATCCAAACTGTTGATCTTCCTTCGAAAGATCCAATTTCGAGAACATTGATTTTTTCATTTTTAAGGTGGTGTAAATGGGTTTCCCAATTAGGAATGTTATAACTAAACCAATCATACTTAAATTTGAATTTTTCATTTTCTTCTACCATTTTTTTTTTTTTCGGTTAATAAATGAGACAATATTGAAATGATGCGAATAAATGATAAAAATAATTAGCATACACGTACGTTGCAGGAAATTTAAAAACCTCAATATTCTATGTAGAAATGATACATAAACTAGTAGCAAATCAAAAATAAATTTCCTAAATTATCGACATCAATAAGCGAAGGGAATATCTTTGCATAAAAACAATAAGCAAAACAATATATATGCAAATAACTTGCATTGAGAATGACACAAATTTAGTTTATCTTCAAATGAGTTAGTTAATCTTTACTCTATATAAAGTGATTGAAGTTTTTAGGTTTCCTCGACCGGTGCAAGAAATCTAAAAACCACAATTACACATTATAGAGACAAATATAAAAAGTGAAATTAATTACTTAAATTTATTGAAGTCGATAATTTAATTTTAATGTGTAACCAACTTAGGTTCTACCACAAAATCCGATTCCCGAAAGGACCTAATACCGACAAAATTAGCCGGTATTAGTTATAATGCTGCCAATTTGGTCAGTATTACGTTCTTTCGAGATTTTGTGGTAGAACCGTACTTGATTATGTTACAGTAGAGATTGTACTCGTCAAGAATATCTCTACTCGGGTATTACTAAATTACCCGGTTATTTATTATAGCACATATTATAAAATGTCTATCCGGGTACGTATAATCTCTAGGTTACAGATTATGCCAAGCAGATAATCAAGTAATACATTAAAATTCATATTTCTTAAATTATCGACTTGTGTTTGCATATACTTTGTTGAAGTTAATGATTTAGGATTTCAATGTTGTATTTTGTTTTTATAAGGTATAATTGTGGTTTTTAGATTTCTTGCGCCGTACGTACGTACGTACGGTGCAGGAAATCTAAAAATCTCAATCACTTTACTGTATATAGAATAAATGTTAACTACTCAATCACTTTACTGTATATAGAATAAATGTTAACTATATAATCATTGAAGATAAAATAAATTGTCATTCTCAATAGCATGCCATTAAGTGCATATTGTTCTTTGACTATTATTTATGCAAAAGAGATTAAGAGTTCTAGGCCCTTTGCTTACGTATTGAGAACGATAATTTAGGGAAATTTTATTTTTGATGTGTTACTACTGTAGTTTATTTATGCATCATCTCTACATAGAAATATTAAGGTTTTGAATTTCCTGTGTAAGATTTAATAGCACATTAAGTGCGATCTGACCGGATGAGTGGCTTTGTGCGCTACGCGTATGTACAGTACGTACAGTACGTACGATTCTTTTTATGCATTGACAGTCATCGACTTTACAACTATACTGTACTATTTATCCTGGCTTTTAGATTTGTTATCGTTATATGTGTGAAGTTATAACTGTTTAACTCATTTTATTCATGGCTCTACTTGTAGTATCAATTTGTGTATTTGTAGTTTTCGTTTTTGCTTGATTTGGATTTGCCAAAATATGAAGTATTTATCAAACTATAAGAAAGACACATGAACTATTTAATTAATAATGAATTGGAGGACATAGGTTAATGCTTGAGAGCACCCTTTGTTCCAAACTACCGACTACAGTACCCCTGTTATAATACCCCAATAGAAAAGACCCGGGTACAATTCATGGGTTCATGATTCAGGAAATTGAAAAAGACCCGGGTATAGATATATATACTTAGATTTTAAAGTCCTTATTAAATAATAATGAAACTATGTAATGTACCCCCCTATTATAATACCCTCCCTCATAATTAGTACCCAGGTGGGAAAAGTACCCTAGTCAGTGCCGTACGGTACCTTTTTTTTGCAAAACTTTATAATTATCAGAGTTTATTATTCAAACAGTTGCATACTTTTTACTATGGATATTCGTTATTGTATTAACGTACAGTACCATTATTATGACTTTTTTTACATTAAAGATTTTCAACAAATAAACATTAGAAACTCAACAATAATACGACAAATTGTATAATAATGCACTTTAATCGAGACAAAAACCTGTTAAATCGATAAAAGATTCAGGTTTTTACGCTCGATGGTTAAACAAATATAAATATAGTGAAGTTTAATTTGCATTTAAATGCATTGTCCATTTAGCCGAGATTTTGCTGACGTAATTGCAATTAATTTTTCGGTTCCCTGATCTCTATGCGCGCTACACAGTAACTTTTTTCTATATAAAAATCAACGATTTAATTTTCCAGCACAAATTTTGATATATATTTTTTTTAACTTGGTCAAAAATGTCTGTTCTCCGTGAGCTTGGTAAAACTGGTGTTAAAATTCCAGTTATTGGATTTGGATGTATGGTATGAAATTAAAATATTTATTGTGGCAGTTGATGCTGAAATTTTGACGGAATATATAATATTATGTATAGTATAGAATCGCAAATATGTATAGTATAGTCAATAAATTAAAATATACAAAAT